TATATATATATATATATATATAGAGAGAGAGGGATTTGATAAGAAAAAAAAATTTTTTATATATATATATATATATATATATATATATATATATATATATATATATATATATATATATATATATATATATATATATATATATATATATGTATGTGTATATAAATACATATAAGTATATATATATGTATATATATGTATGTATATATACATATATATATATATATGTATATATATTTATATACATATATATGTATGTATATATATATATATATATAAATATAATTTATTTATTTATTTATTTATATCAAAGATGCTCGGTGGCCTAAAAATGCTCGGAGGTGCAGAGGAGAAGGGCGAGGCGAAGGAGAGAGAGCGAGGGGTCGGCGTAAGCGGAATCAAGGTATCAATCTTTCTTGACGGTGTTCTTCGTACCTCTTCTCATATCCACCTCCGTTTCGCTCAGATGAGGAATTGATCACAAGATTTTCTTGTTCTGCAATCTTCGTCACGTACGTCGCCGCTTCCTTTGGCTTTCACCCCGCTCACTCCGATGGATGAAACCCTGATTCTTTTTGTTGCGTTTGCATCAAGAACTAGTCTTTTTCTTTCACAGGCTTTTGTGTTCTTGTTCGAAGTTAAATCAAGCTTTGTTATTCCATGACCCGTATCATATGTGCCTTCATTAGATCACAGAGTCCATGTGGTCGTCTTCCTCGTTGCATGCAGCGCACACATGATTCTTCCTTTCAGGCATGCAGTACCTGCTCAACCTGCAACTCGGCTACTGAAGACCGGTGCCTTTTCGCATCCTGGCTTTTGCTGGCTAGCTTTACTCATGGGGGGCTGTGTTCCTTCGAGATGTACGGAGAAGCACACACTCGCACATGGAGATCTGATTCTTCTTGCTTCTGAAACATCTTGTCAGTACCTAATACTTCTTGCTCGGACAGATTCCCTTCGTTTTGGTTCCAACCACTATGATGCTCCGGCAATTGGTTTCATTTCAGTGAAAAAAGCCACCCTTTTCTCATATGTATGTGTCTATGATTTATGAACGTACTTAACATTCTTCGCAGTTACGGTGACCGAAATAGCAGCATTGTATGAGCTGTTTAAGAAGTTGAGCTGTTTGATCATTAAAGACAGGCTAATTCACAGGGTATCAAACGCTTTGGGTTGAGTTCTTCTTATCTTAATATTTCTGTAGAGTTTCTGAACACTCTCTTTCATCAGGAAGAGTTCCAACTTGCTTTGTTCAGGAACAGCAACAAGCAGAATGTCTTTGCAGACAGGGTTAGACTTGTGAATTTGCCTGCTACATTTCTAAACTTGATTACAAAGTGTTGAGAATCTCTCTGCAGATATTTGACTTGTTTGATGCCAATCACAATGGGGTGATTGACTTTGGCGAGTTTGTGAGGTCACTCAGCATCTTTCACCCAAATGCTCCAAAAGAAGAGAAGATTGCATGTACAGATCTCATCGGCTACGCTCAACCTCAATGTTTTAATTTAAGTTGTATGGCTGCATGTACAGAAGTACTGCACACGTGAACTTTTCTTTCCTGTGCAGTTGCATTTAGATTGTATGATCTAAGGAGTACTGGCTACATCGAACGCGAGGAGGTGAATGCCATTACTATTATTATTTTCTATGGATTTGGTTGTATCATGTCATATACATGATTTAACCTAATACAGGCCATGCATGAAGTTATGGTTTCAGCTTTGTATCTTTGCAATGCATGCCTTTACACTACTGATTCATGGTGTAATTAAGTAGTTTATTCCCAGCAGTGCTATGCTTTGGATATCATCTAACAAAGAGTGTTCTTGTCATTCCTTACAAACTCTAACAGTTGAGGGAGATGGTGGTAGCTCTTTTGGATGAATCAGATCTGTCTCTCTCGGATGATATTATTGAAACAATTGTTGATAAGGTGAGTGGCATATCGAGTCATCCTCACATGGTTTATGCATTTGTATCTTCCAAAAATTTGCAAGTCTAATAATCTTTTCTTTCTTTCTATTCTTTGCACTATCAGACTTTTGCTCAAGCAGATTCAAAAAGTGATGGGAAGATAGACACAGACGAGTGGAAGGACTTTGTTCAACTAAACCCTTCGTTGCTAAGAAACATGACTCTTCCATACTTGAAGTGAGTCTTCTCTCAGCCATTACTCTCAATATGCTTTTCTTTTCTTTTATTTACCTCTCTAGAATTAGCATAAATCATTAGAGTATGCTTCTTGTTGGAAATATTCATGTGTGAAATTAAAAATAAATAAATAAAAATAAGAATTATAACTCTTAAAGGTGGAATTATAGCTGTATATTCTTTTGACAGCATCATGCTTGCAAAGTTGAGTAGCTGTCATCAGCACACATAAGGCTGTTTCCAGCTTTTTAAGATACACTCATACGGTATTAATTTCTCAGGGATTTAACCATGTCCTTTCCCAGTTTTGTCATGAACTCGGAAACGGATGATGAAGGCATGACCTCAAATACTTGAGACGGCTCACTTTGTGCATGCTAAGTCCAAATGCAAGTTATACGATACATGAAGCATCGGATACCAGCAAGAAGTTCTTGTGTATTTTTGTTTCCACTGCACAAACAAAATATTTATGTGTAATAGAGATTAAAAAAACAAAAGAATAGTCTCATGAATCTAAAGAATAAACATCATCATGTTTCTAGATTGAATTGATATCTAACCCTAAATAGTTTGATGCAGACTCTTGATTTATGGATTTTAATATGGTATCTTACACAGTGTGCAGAGTGTGCTTTTTATTAGAATATTTTTGAGAAAATATAAAAAAAAATATTTCCATTTTAGAAAGGATAAAATAAAAAAAGGAATTTTCTCTTTAGAAAAGAGGAAAAGACCGGTTCGCCCACGAGGAATCCGGAAGCGTGGTATGTATGACCCTTACATTAGAAACGTTAGCTTTCCTACCCGGTTTTGTCTCACGGCATGAATTCATTAGTGCCGACTGTGGGTCCTACTGGGACCCGTTGGAAACCGTCACCACTGCCTCCTATTACAACGTGGGTGAGACTGGTGGAAATTAAATGGGTGACCGGTTAAGGATAGATATCCTTCTCGAATGCCAAGCAGGGAAAGACTTCGTTGGCAGCTTCTTCACTTGCACGCACTGTTCTCCGCGACTGCTAGTCCATGGATCCGAACTCCAAGGACGGGACGGTGCTCAGGAAGAGGCCTCTCTCGATAAGGACCGGGAGAAAGAGCGGGGCGCATCGATCTGCGGAGGAGGAGTCAGGAGGAGCGTTGAACAGCGAGATAATGGTGGTGGAGGACGAGCCGGTGAGCCCGTTGACGCGGCTGTCCACCAGCCGTGCCTCGACTGCGAAGCCCTTGGACGTCTACGTCGTCAAGTCCAGCTTGGAGGCCACGCTCGTCCGCCACCCCCGCTTCTCCAGCATGCCGGTATGCTCAGCCACATTAAAAGCACGTTTGTGCGCGTCAGGATTTGTTCGCCTTTTTAAGGTCTGGGAAGTGTGTGTATTCTCGAAAGGGCATACTTGAGAGATTATGCTGCACTTCTTTTTCTTCACCTTTTCCTTCTTCATTTATGACCCTATAATAATCTCTGCAACTCCAATGGAAGAAGTCGGGTGTTGGGACCATGATGTATGTCTCCAGAAGGTCGGGCAATAGGGATTTCTTTTCCTTTTCTTAGCTCCTTTCTGGTCGCTTCACGGATCGTTTACTTTAGATGCTACGCACCCTACTATTCTAACACGATATGAATTGATTTTCTAGAATATTTTATCCGATATCTAATATTCTCCACTTCAGCTTTGCTAGTTGTCTTGCCAGTTCCAATGGCATATACATCCCAGTGGAGAAAAGGAGACCCACCATTGATGATCTCCAGATTCATTCAAGTTATTCGATCCCAAGAAGTCATGTGTATTTATTCCAACAAAATGGGATGTCATGTGGATTCTCTTCTTCAATGTTCTAGCGCATGCAAAGCTCTATCACGCACAAGCATCATCGTGTTATGTCTGCAAGAAGCCATATAAGTCAATGGAGATAATGTAGCTCCTACTTGTTACTTTGCAACTCGGTCAGTAGCAGATGAGGTCAACAGTTGATAGTCTGGATTGATCATACCGAGTACTACTAGGATAACGCTTGCGTCTAGGCTTCGTTTAGACGGGTGTGGCCGAAACGCAAGGGAAGTGAGGCGCAGACGTGATGAGGTTTGTTTTCTTCTTTTCCTTTGTTTCGTCTTCACATTAGCTTCCATGATAGGCTCGGAAAGAAATATGCCATGGAGAATAGGAAGATAAGTAATGTGAAGTGACAACACGACTTCTGTAGCGCAAACAGACAATGGAATGTTGGCCGTGAATATGAACGACTGGTTTAACCATTCACTGAGAGAAAAGTCAACCCCACATGTCATTGACGAGGCAGGAGGGAAGAAGGCGAAATGGGTGCGGACCGAGGTGGTGGTGGAGAACCACATCGTGATCCCGAACCTGGAGGACGCAGGCCGCAAACCTCCCCGGACCAGCTGGCGGAGGACTACGTAGCCTCCCTCACTTGCAACCCCATGGGCCACTCCCGCCCCCTCTGGGATCTCCACGTCCTCAACATCCCCACCTCCGACGCCGCCGCCGTTTCAGTGCTCCGCCTCCACCACTCCTCTTCCTCGCCTGCAACCGCAAGGCCTCCGACCCCGACTCCCTTCCCACAATCCCCAAACACTACCTCCGGCGGCCGCCCGCCTCCAAGAGGCACCATGCGGGTGCTTTTACGGGCCTCTTGTGGCTGTCGACATCAAGGACGTCAAGAACGCCATGCATTGCGTAGGCCTTTCTCCGTTTCCTGCCGCTCGTTAATATAGCCCGTCGATGTCTAACGTGAACTAACGCTTCACATGTTGTTGCAGACGGTAAACGATGTCTTGGTGGGAGTCACATCTGCGGGGTTTTCTCGTTCCCTTAGCAGGAGATATGTAAGGACCTGTCTGTAGGACTGTAACAAAGGATTCCTGCATGCACTACTGATGTCTTAGCTGGTCTGTCTTCACAAGAACAATAACTCTGACTCTTAGGTCACACTGACGACGATGATAGCGAGAAGAATCAGCTCCCCTCAAACAGTCGACTCCATTCAACGCTGCTCGTTAACATTAGACCGATACCCGGAATCCATGTAAATCAACCTCCTCTGTTCTTAAGGTTTTCGGATCAATTACTTCTAGTTTTGGATATCGTTGAGTTTTTCCTGTTACTGTTAGGCTTTGGCTGAGCTGACGGAGGGCAGAGATGGTGAAACCAAGTGGGGGAATTTTATTGGTTACCTCATCCTACCCTTCTCAATCATGAGGTGCAAGAACCCCCTGGACTACATTCGCAGAGCCAAAGCGACTGCAGACAGAAAGAAGAACTCCCTGGGGGCCATCTTCACGTACAAAGGTGCAGAGCTCATCGTCAAATGTTTCGGCATCAAGGTAATTCATGGCCTTCTAATGTATTATGGAAAAGCAGAAGAAAGATTACGGCTTACGCCTTATTTTGTATGAATAAACTGAGGACTTCCTTCAAAAGCTTTCCATGGCTGCAAGTCTTCAGTATTCTTCGAGTCAAAGTTTTCTCATGGTTCTCTTACTCGTGAAATCAACAGGCAGCAGCCGCATTGTGCCACAGAGTGCTGTCGAACACGACGTTGTCAATCTCAAACATGATCGGGCCTGTCGAAGAGATTGTGTTCTATGACCATCCACTCGTCTACCTCGCTCTCAGTGTATTTGGGCATCCACAAGTTCAGAACAACATTTCATTTCATAGTTAGATATTCGTCAGCAAATACCTGATTGCTTTGGCTGGGAATTCTACAGGCCCTCACGGTTCATTTCCAGAGTTACGTGAACACGATGAAGATAGTTCTGACAGTGGATGAAGCGGTGATACCGGATCCTTACTGACTTCTGGATGGTCTCGCGGAATCCCTCCGACTCATCAAGACGGCCATTCCTGCAACATCGTAACGCATGGGATGAATCTTCGCCTACGGTGGCTACAGAAAATAAGACAATCGAGGCATATGAATAAATATAAATAAATATATTCAGAATTATCATGTTGTAATTCTTAGTTGGATATAAATTTATCCAACTGTGAATTTGACTCTTTCTTGCTACCACATTTATAACGGTTTGGAGACCGTGGTAACAGTTACAGTGAACGTTAAAAACCATTGTGTGTCAGAGTTCCACAGCGAATGACATCCGGTGACGTGGTATGTTGTGGCCCGTACGATGTACGGAAGTAGCAGCAAATCCGCCGTTCCTCAGCTCCCGACTGTCTTATTGGCCTTTTCCTTCGGTCAACGCCAAAGCTAGATAAATGAGTGCCGCACGAAGCAGGTCAGAGGCCTGGCGTCGACCGTCTTCCCAGATCCCCTCTGCGTCCTCTCTCATCGAATCGTTCATGGACTCCAAGGATGGAGCAGCGCCCAGGATGAGGCATCTGTCGATAAGAACGGCAAGACAGAGTGACCCGGCCGATGGATCTGCCGGGGAGGAGGTGGTGGAGGGAGGAAGGGGAGGAGCAGTGAAAGAAGGAAGGCGTCTTGAGGGAGAGAGAAGGGGGGAGGAGGAACCAGTGAGCCCGGGCGGACGGCTGTTCCACCAGCGAGGCTTCGACTGCTATATCGTGGCGATCATGGGGTACGCGAAGCCCATCGACGTCGGCGTCGTGAAGTCCGGCTTGGAGAAGACCCTCGTCCGCCACCCCCGGTTCTGCAGTATTCCGGTAAGCGTACCTCCCTCCCTCTAGGAACAGGCCATCTATTTCCTCGTGTAAGAAGCACGATAGATGTAAACATTATCTACCATGACCAATAGGCTTACCGCCGTGCTTCTGATGACATCTCGACGTTTCCGGTGTGTGAGACCCAAAAATGACAAGATTTAATGGTCTGGATTTATGTTATTCGCCGTCGTGTGTGTACGGCTCACCTATCTGAATCTATTCCTCGAGCAGGCTTTGTTGATGAACAATTAGTTGTCCCGAGAGCACCATATACTTAATTAGAACAGATGTAACGTAGCCAACTAACGTTGTGTAGACAGAAAATATCAATCGACTTGAAAGCAACTTAATTTAATTGCATATCTTTCGGACGGCTTTTCCCGCAATCTTTCGTTAATGTTTTGATTGAATGGATTCGGCAACTTTTATGCTGTTTAAAAGAGGTATTATTCCACAATCCTCGCGATGGCCACACTTTGACTCTCCAATGGCCTGCTTTGCCCGATACGTTCGGTGAGGCAGAGCGGATAAACGGAACACTGCTCCTCCGTCGAACGGCACGCACGCCTCGAGCGTTTGGCCTTCCGGCAAGCCACGGAGTCAGAGTTTCTCGATGGACGACTTCGTCACTTGCTTTGCTTTGGTTGGTGGCCGTCCCTCTGGAAGACCGAAGCAGATAGCTGTAGGACAAAGCATCTGATTTATTTGCGCGCATAGATTGACCAAACTTCTCTTTGGCTGGCGCATCGAGTCGCTGACCGGATTTTTTCATGTCAAAGCACGCGTGGATTTGATGCACATTGTTTTCTATTCACTCATCTGTCAGTGTCCAGGAGAGTCGTTTTGCCATCCGCTCGCTTAATTGGAATTGAGAAGATCTCTATGTATCTGCTTGAGATCAGACAGTGCTAAAAGTCAACTCTGAAACGTACAGGTGGTTTTGGACGAGACCGGAGGGACGAAGTCAACATGGGTGCCGGCGAAGGTGGTGGTGGACGACCACATCGTGATCCCGGACCTGGCGGACCCACGTCGCATCACCACCTCCCCGGACCAGCTAGTGGAGGATTACATCGCCTCCCTCACCTGCATCCCCATGGACCACTCCCGCCCCCTATGGGAGCTCCACGTCCTCAACTTCCCCACCTCCGACGCCGCCGCCGTCGCAGTGCTCCGCCTCCACCACTCCCTCGGCGACGGCGTCTCCCTCATGTCCCTCCTCCTCGCCTGCACCCGCAAGTCCTCCCACCCCGACTCCCTCCCCACCGTCCCCAGCCACTACTCCCGCAGGCCACCCGCTCCCAAGAGGCTTCATGCGCGTGTTTTCACGCTCCTCCTGTGGCTCTGGGCCTTTCTGATCCTGACGTGGAACACGCTCGTCGACGTCGTCTGCTTCACGGCTACGTCCATCTTCTTGAAGGACACCCCGACGCCGCTCATGGGGTCCCAGGGCGTGGAGCAGCGTCCCAAGCGGATCGTGCACCGGTCGGTGAGCCTCGATGACATCAAGGACGTTAAGAACGCCATGCATTGCGTAGGCTCTTCTCCTTTCTGCCTATCATTAATTGAGGACGCTGTTGTCTAGCACGAGCTAACACTTCAGAGTGCGTTGCAGACAATAAACGATGTACTGGTGGGTGTCACATCCGCGGGGTTGTCTCGTTACCTTAGTAGGAGACAAGAGCAGAGTAAGCTATTTATGTCTGCAGCAAAGATTTCCTCTTAGGCTGTTTTGTTTCTTACATAGAAGTTACTCTCTGATGCCTAGATTCCAATGACGATGATAAGAACAAGAACAAGAAGAAGAAGGAACTCCCATCGAACTTACGTCTCAGATCAACCCTGCTCGTTAACATCAGGCCGGCTCCGGGGATCCATGTATGTATGCATCTCTCTCCGCAAAAGATTTTTGGAGCCACTGCTTCTATCTATGTTAATGACTGAGTTGACTATAATCAGGCTTTGGCTGAGCTGATGGAGGGCAGGGATGATGGCACCAAGTGGGGGAATTTGATTGGTTACATCATCCTTCCCTTCGAAATCTTCAACCATAAGGACCCTTTGGATTACGTTCGCAGAGGGAAGGCGATTGCGGACAGGAAGAAGAACTCATTGGAAGCCATCTTCACGTATAAAAGTGCAGAGCTCGTTGTCAAATGTTTGGGCATCAAGGTAATCGCTTTCCTATAGTCTTTGGAAATGCATATTACTTCAAAGGAAAGCAGATGCTATCAAAACGTAGTTGAACTATCCACATCCTAACTTAATTAGATTCCTCAAAGGATTCTGCCAAGATCGATTGATCACCTCCGGAAACTGTTGATGAGTGGTGATGCCACACACACACATCAGGCTCCTGAGAGACCACCTAAACAGCATCATTCTTCATGAAAACAACATGGCTATTCTTGTGATTACTGTCGTGTTTGTGTATGTTACAGGCAGCAGCTAAGCTGTGTCATAGAATGCTCACCCACACGACGTTGTCATTCTCAAACATGGTCGGGCCGGTTGAGGAAATCGAATTTTTCGGTCACCCACTAGTCTACCTTGCTCCCAGTGCATATGGACATCCACAAGTACGTCCTCGGGATCTCTGGTTCATATTATTACACATGAATTGGTTCTATTTGCTATTTGGTATAGGCTTCAAATGTCTGATTCTTCAGCTGATGTGACTTCTCAACAATGAAACAGGCGCTCACCATTCATTTTCAGAGTTACATGAACACGATGAAGATAGTTCTAGCAGTCGATGACAAGGTGATATCAGACCCTCACCAGCTTCTGGTTGACTTTGCTGAATCCCTAAAGATCATCAGGGAAGCAATTCCAGCCAGATCATAGGAAGACACAAGATCTCGTGCTAATTGATTGGGGCACAGACACCCAAAAGAAGACATGAAGAACTATATATATATTTGTTTTCTCTGAATTATCTGTTTGTAATTTCACCTCTTGTGCGGTGGTGTGAGGGAAGAAATCAAAGACACTGTATGGTCCCGCATCGAAGCCTGGGTGCACGATTCACTTTCCCATGCTTGCACCCCCGATAGCTCCTAAGAAAAGGGTTTCTTCCATGATACTTGCTTGTACTCACCCGACGATATGCTCTATACTCATCGACGATGGCATCGGACTGGCCAATGTCGCATACACCTAAGTACATTCTCCCCGGAAAACACACACACACACCGTACGAGAATGTTGGGGCGCTCATGTAACGATGGATTCGGATACCGGCAAAGATTCACTGTCAAATCCCCAAACAATAGATATGTGAGATCGCAGGATTGCTCTTGCACCAATAGATTTCCAGAACACACATCATGGGGTCGATAAATTAATAGTACTCGTCATTATCCACCGACAACAACAGATGGTTCAACCCACAGCTCGTAGCCAGCAAAGCAGGGTGAATCCTTGGTAGATGCTGTCCGCATCCACTCCATAACCCCAGTGGCAATAAAATCTAAGGATAAAGATGGTGAAGAAACGCAAATCAAGTAGTGAGTCAATGGATTAAGAGTAAAGCCAAATTGATCGTCTTTAATTCATATAAATCGTCAGAATATATACATAGATTACATGCTTCGCCTTAATCAATCAATAATTATCTTCCGCATGGATGAGGAGTTCCCACGATTCCATCCGCGTTCGAAGCCCTTTCACCACCCAGCGATTCCCAAGAAGCTGACACCGTAGTACATGGCAGGCATACACACAAACACCTCATCAGCAGAAAGATCTACACAGGCTTGGAGAAGAGAGGGGTGGAGGAAGGAGATACCTGAGGGGTCGGGCGGTGAGGCGATGGGAGAGGGCGCGGAAGAAGAAGTTGGCGCCGTGGATGAAGACCACCACGCCGGTGCACCCCAGGACGAACAGCTCGAACATCTCCGCGATCACTTTCCTCTCTCTTTCTCTCTCTCTCCTCCAGCCCACGGTTTTCGGCGCACGATAAGAGACAAACACCAACGGGCCACGGAAATATTTCTCTGAAGGGGCGGTGATCTTATCAGCTAGGGTGAGAAGTCGGGCACCTTTATTGTTTCTTGTTGCGGCCTTACCAAACCGCTTACCGTCAGAAGAAGCGAAGTTTTTCGGGTGTGCCCCACGTGGGACCCTTGATGCGTTGCCTACCGTGTGTGTGGGTGTAAGCCAACGGGGTTGGGGTCGTAGGAATAGGTATTGCGTGTGTGAGCGCGTGCATTCGCATGTGTAGGTGGATGGATAAGCAACGACATAATGCACGCTCACCTCCCACGTGCTGGTAGGCCCCACTCGAGACCAACGTCAACAACGCAATGTTGTGGGCGTAGGCAGGTGAGCTCGGACTCGGGTACGACAGGGGCGTCCACGTAATTTTGGTCCCACCAGGCCACCATGACATGCGGCGAGGCGATGACCACCGCCGGAGCCCAACATGATGGCGGGACCCGCCCGGCCACCCGCCCGGAAGAGCGTGCTCACCTAAACCCCCGCGAAGCGGGCGCTGCCAGCCGTCCAATCTCCATCGTACGTCTCCTGAGACGCCATCATCCTCTGCCAATCCGACCACCCTTCCCCATGTGGGCGCGCTTCGCCACCATCATTATCATCCTTACCTTCTGCCCTCCAGCTGTCCAACTTGGCCTCTCTTCCTCCTCCTACAGTCAACACCTCCGTGTCCGATCCCCCGCTATACGCACCCCTTCCTTCCCATACCTGCACTCCGTCCTCCACCCCCGCTGCTCTAACCCACACTCCATCCGAATTCGCGTCATCGTTATCAACACTGACAGTTCCCCTGTTTTAAGGCATCCCACCGTTGCTTGCGATACAGCGAGAAGACAGGCTGCGTGTCAAAAGCACAGTTTCGGTGAGACAGACGAGGCCGCGTTTCTTGCCGCTGCCACACGCGGGGGACCGTTGTCAACGTTGCTGTACTTGGTAAAAGGGACATGACCTTGTTGATCGTATTATGCATATAGTTCATCTTATACTTGTTACCGTTGATGTACTACAAGGATCCTTACTATACCTCACAATTTCTCCTGTCAAACTATGGAGGCAACAAGAACAGCATCACCCAATAGCATTGGGGGTGCTATTATCACCATTATTACAAACTTAGGAATAACATGATATCATTATTTTCCCCCCCTTTAATTTTCTAATATCAGAGTTGCTAGCTAGCTATCACCAACTGCATCAATTATTATTCCTCTGTCTTCCCTGTGTGTTATGAAGTTCCATAGCCTTCTTCCATGTGCCCCAGAGGCTCAATACTCTATTTTCCAATCATATCAATTAGGACTCCAGCTATTCGTACATTACAGATATTAATCAACCACAAGTTACCACACTATTCTCTCTTCTGATGCCATCAGAGCCCTTACCACGTCAATCACTCTCCCACTGGTTTATCCTTTTGCACGGAGTGAGGAGAACAAAAGACCCAGTGACAGTAGCACACGCAAGTTTCATCACACCATAGCATGCCAATTTTGCCCTGCTGTTATAGGATATAGAGTCTCGTTCGCGGAAGGAAAAAGGCTTTGGTCTCGTTCGCTGCCACTGTTAGCCGAAGGCGCTCAGGACCCAATGCCTGCACCACTTCTCCTCCTGCTCCTCCTCGTCCTCTGCTGTAATGTCGCTGCCGCTGCCAAAGCGCACTCAGATTCCCTCCATCTCGAGCTCGTTCGCCGCCCGCCGTCTCCCTCCGCCACCACCCGACTCGACCTCCTCCGCGAGCTCTACCGCAGCGACCAGCTCCGGCAGCGGATGATCTCCCAGAGCATCGGGCAGCGTCGCCACGGGCGGCGGCCGCTCCAGGCCCCCGCGGCCTCGCAGAACGCCTCGCTGCCGGCGCCGGCGCCGGCGGAGGAGTCGTTCGCGATGCCGCTCACGTCGGGGGCGTACACGGGCACGGGGCAGTACTTCGTGCGGTTCCTGCTGGGCACGCCGGCGCAGAAGTTCCTGCTGGTGGCGGACACGGGGAGCGACCTGACGTGGGTGAAGTGCCGTCGACCGCGCGGGTGCCGGCGGTGCGGGCGCGGGAGGTTCTTCCGGCCCCAGGCATCGACGACGTACGACCCGATCCGGTGCTCGTCGGACATGTGTAAGTCTGCGCTGCCGTTCGCGCTGGCCACGTGTCCGACACCGGCGAGCCCATGTGCTTACAATTACGGGTAACGTGGCATTGGATCGCATCCCCATCTCCCTACTCATTTTTCGTCCTGCTTTCCGCTAAATTACTAAATATCACTTTCTTTTTATTTCTTTAGCTACATAGTTAACATAAAAATCCATATAAAACTTTGCATAAAATTGTTCTACAAGGTAAATTAGATGTAGGCAGCATCGCAGTCTCGACAGGCATAGGCTGTGATTGTATGCTGGGACTGTTTAATGTGGTGTTTGCAAGAGGAATGAACGATCCCAAGATGCGATGGCCTACCCTGTGCTCGTGAGTGCTCACGATGTAACATGATGCTTGGCATTTACGTACGTGCACACATTGATTTCGTCCTGTACTGCATTCCCATTCCTAAATCCCAAAAGCTAATTTATAATCGATTAGTGCATGCCGGTCCATATTGTTTAACGTTTCCCTGCGGTAAAATCTTCCTTGGATTCCGTCCAAAGCTTAATTGTAACCGTCGCAGGTACTCCGATGGATCGATGGCGAAGGGGGTCTTCGCGCAGGAGTCGGCGACGATAACGCTTTCGAGAGGCGCTCGTCGCAGGAAGCTGGGTGGGCTGGTGGTGGGTTGCACGACCTCATCCGTCGGATCCAGCTTCCGCGCATCGGACGGCGTCCTTGGCCTCGGCTACAGCGCGGTGTCGTTCGCCGCCCGCGCCGCTGCCGGATTCGGCGGCCGCTTCTCCTACTGCCTCGTGGACCATCTCAGCCCCCGGAATGCCTCCAGCCGCCTCACCTTCGGACCCACCCCGGCCCTCTCTCACCCGGCATTGCCGCCCCCTCGCGCCACCGAGCTCGTCCTCGACGCCCGCCTCCAGCCCTTCTACGCCGTCCGCATCGACGGCGTCTCCGTCGACGGCGAGCTACTTCCGATCCCCTCGAGTGTGTGGGATGCCGCCCGCGGCGGCGGTGCCATCCTCGACTCCGGGACGAGCCTGACCGTGCTGGCGGAGCCGGCGTACAGGGCGGTGGCGTCGGCGCTGAGCCGGCGACTGGGCGGGGTCCCGAGTGTGAGCGTGGACCCCTTCGACCACTGCTACAACTGGACGGCGGCGGGGCCGGCGGCGGAAGTGCCGAAGCTGGTGCTGCACCTGGCGGGGACGGCGCGGCTGGAGCCGCCGGCGAAGAGCTACGTGATCGACGTGGCGGAGGGGGTGAAGTGCATCGGCATCACGTCGGCGCCGTGGCCGGGCGTGTCCACCATCGGCAACATCCTGCAGCAGGAGCACGTGTGGGAGTTCGATCTCAAGAATCGACGGCTGAGATTTCGGCGATCCACCTGTCGTTCCATCTGATCATCGTGATGAGGAGGAAGAGGAGGAGGAGGTTGGACGTCCCTGATTCTTTCTCCAAATTGTATGGCCGATTATTATTATTATTATTATTATTATTATCATTATTATTACTTTTTTTCTTTCCCCTCTTTTATCCGTCTGGTGTAATCATAGTGATGATATATGTGTTATGAGATTCTCCTAATAAACAATTAGTCTGATTTGTTGTGAATAAATCACCGAAGATAAGAGATCTGTTGATGATTGCAGACAATCG